GAGAAACTGGTGGGTAGTGGTTGCTGGATACCCAGAGCTATTCAGCCCAACAATAGATGGCAGGGTGTCAGACTGCCCTTGAGTCATCCTAAAGTATGCCTGGAAACGGCCATCATCAAGGTGAAACCCTGATGTACTTGTAATTGAGAAGTGTAGATCTAAACAAAGCAAATTCAACAATACAGGGACTTTTTTTCTCAGTAGATTATTTCACACAACACCCTAAACCAAATCAGGCCACTACTTGTGTTTAAGAGATGACATTCTTCTTCTGCAGTGTATCTACATGGGCTTGACTCAACTGATGTGACCACTAAGGTGTGGCACACAGTGCATGACTACATGTCTTTGTCCTGTCAATGACAAACAGTAAAATAATTTGTAAATTTTTCCACAGCACTGAAGGTTGCCATCAAGTTCAATCCCTGATAAAGTAAAGCATCAAAGTACAACGTAATATGATACCAGTGCTGTCTTAATTGCCGCTAAAGATTCTGAAGAAGTTTTGCACATCAGATTCAGTTCATCCTCATTCAATCAGTCTGTCTTTGCAGCAGTTTCTCTTGCCAGGTTTCAGGAGAGTAAACTCACATCTCAGGGTTGGTTCTCACAGAGAAAATGTGCTCGTGAAAATTCCACTGCATGCGCTGACTAGAAAGTCTGAAATGTCACCTGTCATATCATATGAGATTATACAATCCTGTACAAGATCCGTGTGCGTCTGCCTTTAAAGAAAGGTTGAAAGCTTCCCTTTCATGATCCAGTGACATTCAGTGAAAAGTAATGATACACTGTGCCCTGTGATTGTCAGTTTTTCTGAAAAGGTTAATCATGTCATAGGGTGGGGTCCTCATTTTGACACATCAACAATTGTTTTTGCAGCAGGGATCTGCTTCTCATATAGTATAGCTACACCTTATGGAGCCAAAATGTGCTTGTACATGTTTTATAGCTTTCAATACAGATAATCATGTTGTTTACATGTCTACATTCAATACTATGTGCTTCAAGTTGTGGACACAGATCCTTTGTGTTATACTGAGTGTTTAACATGACTGCTGTTCAAGGCTTCCATGTAAGATGAGGTAGCCATGTTATGGCTTATTTCCATTTTTAGCAAAAGGTTTAACTGCTTCTTCAGTTTTTACTCACCCACTGTTTCTCATCACTAGATCCCAAATTTTCCCAAATTGTTCACTATATTTTGGTGATGTATGAAAGCCGCTGTTAAACTTGTGCGGTCTAAGATCCACCTCATAACAGTGGTCTGAGGTTCACTTCTTGCAGGCTGTGGTGCAGTTCCCTGGAATCTGCACCAAATGTGGTACCCAGCCACTCCCCAAACAAAATGTTGAATAACATTAGATTGCCATCACCTGTCAGCACTATGTATCAGTTTAGGCCTAGTGTACCCTCCCTTTAAGATATGAAGAATGACTAGGTCTCTTAGCCTTTTGTATGGTGTCGTGGCCGACAAGAGCAAATGTGCCACGGTAGCCCAAAACATTACTACCAGGAGAAACACATAAAAACACACAAACATCAATACAAATGCAACAAAAAACGCAGCATATCCAGTGTGCTAACGTGCTAGGCTACTGATGTACTGTATATCACTACATTAGTAACAGCCATACTTATGTAAAGGATGTTTTTTTTTCTAAACCTATCCACGTGCTTTTGTTGCCTAAACTTTAAAGTATTAGTATTATTTTGAAAAAGACTGGATGCATGTAACAAGCAGAAAGAGTACATTTCCTGTGAAAATGGAAGTTTATTTTGAAAGACACAATGCATGTAAAAAGCCTAAATTGACAACTTGGGGGGGGGGGCTTATATGTCCCACTTTAAAAACAAGCACACAGTCTTGTCTGTCTTTCACTCTCAGGTGAACTGTGTTTGCAGTTAGTGTATTTGTTTTGGCTTTCTGCAGCACGCTTTTTTATGTGCAGCATGTTTCCGTATTTGTTTTTGATTTTCATGGGTGTTTTTAAATTGCCATCATTTTAGAAGCTGCAGCATCTTTCTCCTAATAGAAATGTTTTGTGCTGTTGTAGCATGTCTGTCCTGTGGACCAAAAGCAATAAAGTTCTCAAATCAAAGCATGCCAAGTGCTCTGTAGTTGTAAAAAAAAAAAAAAAAAAAAAGTTTCATGAATGTAAAGTAGATGGTTGTGTTGCACAATCAATTCATGGTTTGGATTCTTGTGTATGAAATAAAACCATAGTGGTAACCTGCCCTCCCAGTTAGCGGACACAAACCAGCCCTGCAAGGTCCGCAAACACTGTCACTTTGCTCAGTACGACACATGCAGGCCTGCCACAGCCGTCCTGTTCATCATGATGATGGGAATTACGCTGCTGATCATGTTTGGTAGTGCCTCTCTTTTATAGCCATGGCTGCACATGCATTTTTTCTTGGGTTTGTGTTCCAAAGGTGGCAGTGCGCTGTGGCTGGAGACTAGTCAGATGCACCTGTAGTCAATGTCACAAATATGAACATATTCTGATATGCATTTCCTCCAAAACATGTTGAGCTAAAGCAAAGAAACATGATGATACAGTACGGTGCACATGAAGAGAGAGAAGTGAGAGTGAAGTGCTGGCATTTTATTCTGGGGTGTGACTCAGTTATGCCCTGCAGCTCATTTCGATGCTTCTCCAGTACAGAGACTGGGAAGCCAACACCTATATCAGAGCTGCTGAGATGAGTTTCAACAGGTATCAACTGTTCCGATTCTCAGTCTGAATGACGAATCTTGTCGACTTTTAACTCCTGATGTTCTTGTAGCTGCAAGCTGACACTAATGCAAGAGAGATCCAAGTTGAAAATGACCTTTTGAAAGATGAAACATTCGGAATGTGTGACTAAATTGAAAATTCAGTGATCATAGCAATCTATTCAAAGACATAGAGTGGTATGAGTATTGAAGATAGTTTGAACGGTGCCCTCAAGCACCAACAAACTGCAGGCATGAACACATAAAAACTGGATGATGGATTTAATCAAATACCTCTGGAATTCGAGACTAGTTTCTTTGTATAGTTCTTTACCTGTTTGTCCTTAGATCACTTTATTTTTCTCCTCCACTCACCTGAAGACACATTTGTGTTCTCCTTGAAATTAGCCTTCTGTTTCACTGTATGAGCTCTACTCTCTGTGTATCTATCAAATTCTGTGCAAAGGGTACAGTAAGTACCTTGCTGCTTGCAGGAACTTCCTGCAAAACCAGTTTCTTCTTGGTTATCAAGTCATTTATGCACTTGATGTTACTACTAAATCTAAAACCACTTTTACTGTTGGTGCTATTGTTTTAGAAAGTGCACCCCCACCTACAAACACCACTAACTATTTCTCTTGAATTTATCTTTTCTTTTGTTCCCTGTTCTTTTTAAATGAAATGTGCCTCGTCGACCATCTCGTTGTCACTCTAACAGCATAAACAGTCCCCGATGACATATGCCCCATATGATCTGTTCTCTGCAAGGTCGTAGGTTTCATGTCATCAGTGGTGGGGACACACATTAGGCCACAGGGGAAATTTTGAGCATCCAACACTTCATTTCCTGTATTCTGGTGAAGTTGTATGCACCAATTTATGGTGAAAATGTCTTTTTTAAGATTATTTTTGGGGCTTTTTGCCTTTATTATAGGACAACTTGAGAATGACAGGAACTGGGGCAGAGAGAGGGGGGATGACACGCAGCAAGAGGGTTGTAGGTTGGACCCTAACCCAGACCGCTGCAAGAACTCAGCCTACATAGGGCGCACACTCCACCGGTTGAGCTAGAGGTCGCCTGGAATATTTTTTTTTTTTCATATAAAGAAAACCACAAAATTCAGTTGAAATATCATGAAATATAATGCAGTGAGGCTCTCAGGCCTTCTGTGTTTATTCTGCTGTCGATCGACTTTTGTCATTTAATGTTATCTCTGCTGAGTCAACACACATGTAGGCATAGTTTACTTTTCCATTCTTCTTTGTGTCTTTTGTTAAGGGAAGTTACCTCTTTAAATGTGCACGTGGCACCTATACACATCAATGATAAATTTGTACATTTTAATACATTTATAAACCCATTCAGCAAGATATCTGCTCGTGTTCAAAACTGTCTGAACATTCAAAACTTATCCCACATATCCGTGCTCTCTGAGAAGTCCAGAATAAAGTAATTATACTTTGAGAAAATAGCTGTTACATTATGAAAACAAAGTTCATTCATAATGAAGTCATAATGATTTAAGAAAAAAGTCTCATGCCCTATAGTGCATGACCTTATCGCTCTGGTGATATAGTAGTTTCCTCTTCACACCGTCTGACAGACACAGAACCCCGTTTGGCACTCTCTTTGTATGAGGCAACGTTTTAGCGGCTGTGCACTGCTCTCCATGTGCCGTATTTTGGTGCACAGTGAGAATGAGGATAATGCCAACGAGTTGGCTCAAATATTGGTAGGGACAATTCTGTCCTCCCAAAATACTGGTAGGGACAATGTCTCTACCTTCCATATCCAAACCCACATCCTGGTTCTCTGAATCGATTTAATATTTTCCTGCTTATTGGCATATGTATCTAAGAGAACTTGACAAAAGCTCTGAATATTTGTATTTCATTAGTCTTGCAAGATGATGAAAAGCAGGAAATAGTGTATCAGTTAGTATACGGGTCCCCAACTCACCCTCATACTCATCCAACCACCCACACCTCTCAGAGAGTCCCCAGCTAAGTAGGAAAAAATGCCTACCCCTCTCACTCCTGGCTCTGATGCCATTGCTTTGCCAGCACCTGGGTGTGTCAAGCCCCTATCACTTTACAGGGGCAGCACTGTTACCTGTCTGACAGGCTGAGCTGCTCCAAGCCAATCTACTTGACTGTAAGTGCACCTTTCAGGATCCAGGTAATTGGAGGAGGGTTGAGGAGGAGGTGTAGAGGAGGTGGAGCTCACTGGGACCTCCTCCTCCGTTGAGGGCACATAAAAAGCCATCACAGACAGGCGGAAGATACTTAGAGGGACTTGGCTCTCCTCTTAGTGGGCTCTACTTCTCTGCCAAACCTCTCTCTTTCTGCTCACCCTTTTCTCTTCCCTTTCAGAGGAAACATGAATGTACAGAGGGGTTCTTCGAGTAGTATGAGAATGACCGTCAGGTCCAGTGGAAGCATGTATGGTGGTAGTAGTGGTGGTGGTGGAGGTGGTGGAGGTGGTGGTATAAACAGAATGTTTACCTCTCAATCTTTAATGGGGCCAGCCAGAAGTAGGGTAAGCATTGCCAGTGGTGGCACGGGAGGTATGCGATTTGGTGGTGGCGGCGGTGGCGGCGGCGGCGGCGGCGGCGGCGGCTATAGCTATAGTTCATACCGTGCAAGTGGAGGTGGAAGTGGAGGTGGAGGTGGTCTCGGTATTGGTTACGGTTTTGGTGGAAGTGGAGGTGGAGGTTTTGGTGGAGGTTTCGGTGGAGGTGGTCTCGGTATGGGTCTCTATGGTGGTGGAGGTGGTGGCGGACTTATCATACCCACTATCCAGCAAGTAACTTGCAACCCGAACCTACTGAACCCCGTGGATGTTACAATTGACCCCACCATCCAGACTGTCCGTACCCAAGAGAAAGAACAGATCAAGACTCTAAACAACCGCTTCGCCTCCTTCATTGACAAGGTGAGTTGCCCTTATTTACACTCATGTCCCACACCATTTCAGTGTGTGAGTGCTTTATATACGTTGTTGTGTATGTTATATGTGTTATCTTTCGTTTGGTGAAGCAATAGATGTTGAATCAACTAGGGAGCATGAAATATCAGGAATGGATGGCGGATGCACTGCACACAGTAGGGTTAATTTGTTTGTGTAAGCATGAGGGGGTTCATGAAATATTACACATCAACTGACCTAAACCTGTATAATGTGCGCACTATTAGCACAGCTAGAGCTTACTCTGAAAACTGATACGACCAAGCAAAACGTTATTAGTATGAATATGATATAGTCAGTTGTCCAAAGCAGTGAAGTAACAGTGTTCCAAAACCAATGCTATGCATCAGCTAGCCTTTGCACTGTAGCTGAAAGCAGACCACTGCTCCTTAAACTTCTCTTTGACCATAACTGGCCCCTTGCCAGCTGTCTCTGTGTAGAGTGAGAGGAAACACTAGAGTGGTCATATCCAGTGACTGGTGGCTCTCACTATGAGCAAAAGAAGGGATCAGGTTATCACCTATTCCCATGGCACCGAGGACTCGCAAGCTCTCAATGGTGCTGCGGAAAGTGGACATCTTAAGTATATGCAATGCGTTGCATAATAGAGGAATCTTTGCACCGACTAATATCATTTATTTCATACGATGAAGGACAATACAATAACTGAGTTTTTAAATTTACCCATCTACACTTTCATGAATAAATGAAGACCTCTAAAGAAGTTGGGAGATCTTTTTACTCAGGCAGAAAGGGAAGGGGAGGAAAGTTAACCACACCCTGCAGGAAGAAAATGCTCCATCAGCTTTTTCTGTAACGTGTTCAAGCCTCATCTGTCTTCATATAGGTGACCTGATCCCATTCTGTTTATTTATAGTAGACTTCTGACTATTAAATGATCAATTCAAAATGAAATATTGTGCAACCTAACATTCAAAACATTTAGATTCAATATTTTTATGAAATAGAATAATTACACAAATTGTATATCCTCAAAGCATCTGCACGCAATGGATGTCACAGTTAACAGCTACAGGCATGCAGTAATAATTACTGGGGGCTGTGGCAGGCAAGTTCAATGGCAAGTTCAATCAGTGAAAGTATGCATCCTAGAGGCCAGGGAGTGGTAATGTCAGGGGGTTAAGGGGAGGGGCTGAGGTGTGGCATGGTACACGTTACCTGGCCTTTAAAAAAAAAACCAAAAAAAAAAAAACCTTAAAGGCACAGGTACACACCCAAAATGGAGGGATGGGCTCCGCCTTCTCGAGGGTTCAAAACCCAATGGCAGGGCTCTGTACTGTGTGCCACGCATGCACCTTCTGTCTTCTAGTAACAGGCTTTGAAACATATTTCTCTGTATCATGTCAAATGTTCTCAAATACGAGTACAGTTCAACTATACTGTGCAGAGAGACTCCACAGTGGTTTATGTCAAGAACATCCCTGCCCTGAGGGGTGTTTTAATATGGCAGCTGCCGGTATTGGTGCATACAAGAGCTTTTTGTGTGGTAAAGTCACACACAGGTGTGGCTTGATGGATCACCTGAGGAAAGTAAAACAAAGAAGACAAACATCTCTATTACTTCAGAATGAGCATGGCTTATCATGAAGAAAAGGGACAGTACGATCAGGCTATTTTATTTATACTATGCTGAAAAGGACAAAATGAAAACAGACACTGACATGCACACAAATCTACAGATGTGTAATGTATCCATTATGTAGTCCTAATTATTTCATTAATTATAGTCTGATTGATGTGGTTTGTAGTCATATTCAACGTGTAAAATTTCCCCACGTGAGACTAGATCTAAACATGGTGAATGGTTTTACCGTTTAGGTGCGCTTCCTAGAGCAGCAGAACAAAATGCTGGAGACCAAGTGGAGCCTGCTGCAGGATCAGACCACCAGCCGCTCCAACATCGACGCCATGTTTGAGGCCTACATCGCCAACCTGCGCAGACAGCTGGATGGGCTCGGCAATGAGAAGATCAAGCTGGAGGGAGAGCTGAGGAACATGCAGACACTTGTGGAGGACTTCAAGAACAAGTGAGTTAATACCAGCACCGGCAACCAAGCGTGTCACATCTTTGAACGTACCAGCTGTGAACTACAGTAGTTGTTGCCCACAGTCATTTTCTGTTGACTAATTTTTCCACTGTTTGTGGGGCAGGTATGAAGATGAAATCAACAAGCGTGCTGGTGTGGAGAATGAGTTTGTGCTCCTGAAGAAGGTGGGAGTCGATTTGCAATTTTACAGTGATAGGCTGTTACTCCACCACTTCATTGTCAATACTGCCATGAACTTTTGTTTTTTTTTTTCTCTGACCCATCACCAATGCAGACTATTTTCTTCTTATCTACTTGCAGGATGTAGACGGCGCCTACATGAACAAGATTGAGCTGGAGGCCAAGGTTGATTCCCTCCAGGATGAGATTAACTTCCTCAGAGCTGTCTACGAGGCGGTAAGAAAAATGAACAATACTTTTCTCTCATTTCCAGGGAAACACTTTTTAAGTTAACTAACATTTTAGGGGGCATGACGTGGCACTGGTGCGCAAAGATACAGAATTGAGAAAAAGATATTGTACTGCCTTTACTCCCTGACTTTCTTTTTATTTCATTTTTAAAAAAATGATGTACATCTCTTTTGCAGGAACTGAATGAGCTCCAGGGACAGATCAAGGACACCTCAGTCATTGTGTCGATGAACAACAGCCGCGACCTGGACATGGACTCCATTGTGGCCGAAGTCAAGGCTCAGTATGAGCAAATCGCAGAGCGCAACCGTGCTGAAGCTGAAGGATGGTACCAGGAGAGGGTAGGTAGAGAAAGAAAGCAATCAAACCAACAACTCCAATATGAAATACACATCCCGCAATATCAAATAAAAGTGGAGAGGTCACACCGTTGAATCTGCTATAACAATTATTTTTATTTCTATTCCTTCAGTTCCAGCAGATGCAGACTAGTGCAGGCCAGGCTGGAGATGAAGTTCGCAACACCAAGGCTGAGATCGCTGAGCTCAACCGCATGATTACCCGCCTCCAGAATGAGATTGAGGCAGTCAAGGCACAGGTAAGCTCACAGTTAGGTATATATACATGGTTATATGTGTTAATTATATGTGTTAACTTTTGAATGACAAATACCACTTCTGATGCATCTGCTAAATTTCCAACCTCCCAGCGCGCCAACCTGGAGGCCCAGATCGCTGAGGCTGAGGAGCGTGGCGAGCTAGCTGTGAAGGACGCCAAGGCCCGCATTAAGGACCTGGAGGATGCCTTGCAGAGAGCCAAACAGGACATGGCCCGCCAGGTCCGCGAGTACCAGGAGCTCATGAACGTCAAGCTGGCTCTGGACATTGAGATTGCCACCTACAGGAAGCTTCTGGAAGGAGAGGAGGACAGGTAAAAAAATTAGCTACTTTAGGTTTGCAAGATGTTTAATTTTACGAGACATTAAGAGAGTGCATTGCATCAGGTTGTGTGTGCAGCAGCAGCTGAAATAGCTCATTTATCTTCCTCTCTGCAGAATTGCCACTGGCGGTGGAGCTACAACCGTCCACATACAGACCTCCGGTATGTATCTTTACCATTCAAGTTACAGCTGAGTCAATTTATTGAAATATAAAAGTAACAATGAGAAAAACCTTCAGTAAAGCTATCAGTCTGGTTGATAAGTTTTACTGACAATCCAGATTCTTGCCATCTCATGTGAAAAATCTTATTTTCATCACCAGGTGGAGGCGGCGGTGGAGGCGGTGGCGGTGGTGGTGGCTACGGCGGTGGCTATGGCGGTGGCTATGGCAGTGGCTATGGCCTTGGCGGCGGCGGCGGCGGTGGCGGCGGCATCGGCATCGGCAGCGGCATCGGCGCTGGCGGCATGAGCTACAGCAGCAGCACCAGTGGCGGCATGAGCTATGGCAGCGGCGGCATGGGCATGAGCATGGGCGGCATTGGCGGCGGTGGCAGCACAGTCAGACAGAGCAGCAGCTACACCGCCTCCATCCGCCGTTCATAAACAGCAGTTGTCCTCTCCATCCTTCTTCTCTCATTTTGTTCTCCACCTCTTGTCCCTCAACTCTTCCCGACAACAACTAAAAGCTTCCATAAAACCTTTCACTTCTCTCCCTGGAGACAGAGCAGCCTCAGAATATTTGCATTTGACAATTTACAGCTGATTTACGGCTGATCCATGCAATGGAACAGCTCTATTTGGCATTTAGTTACTGTGTTGCTGCTTCCACTTTGGCGACACATACCTGCAAAGAGTAAGAGATTACATCATCATCATACAAGCAGAGGCAGAGAAATTATTAGACCAGAAACAAAGAGCAGCAGAGATATGAGTCAGTCCTCTCTTTATTTGATCAGTCAGCCCGGCTGTCTTTTGGTTGCTGGATCTGCTGTCATGCAGACGAGAGCATACTTGTAGTGTCATGGCAGAGAATCCTCGCAAGGCAACAATCATTGCACACAAAATGCAAACAGCAGTTCTTAGATTTGCACAGAAGGAGGTCTGAAAGCTGTGGTTGTTCTTGACTTCATAAAGCAAACATGGCAAAACTCCTCTTTTCTGCAATGTCTCCGCTGTTGTCTCACAGCTGTCATTTTGCTGTGCTTTTTGACATCATCAAAAGCAGCCACATATAACACTTTCATATTGATCTTTGGAATCCTCTTTTTTCTTCTGCTCTGAGAGAAAGTGCTCTCTCCACTACAGCATAAACAGTAAATGGTGTTTTGATCCTGCTTTACTTCCATTTCCACTCTGAATAAAAAAGAAACATGGATAGGGCTGACTGGAGTAACCAGATTTATTGTGAATTTGTACCACCAAAACATCTGGAATAAATCTGATTTCATATTCAATTTGGGCAGTTCTGTTTCTTCTTATTGATTTTTGGTGCACTCTAACTTCGAACAATGCAAATAATCTGGGTTTATAATTGATGGCTTGCTAAGCCCCACCACTCATAATTACTGTTACTATGACTGTGACTATGATTTCCATTCTAGCACATCGCATGTTGCAGTTTACAAAGATTACAATGGCAAAGTTACTATTGAAATTAAGTTCAGTTTTTGAAACAACAGGATTTCACACAGAAGTAAGCAAGCTCTTACACTTAAACTCAGTAAGCTGGTTCAAAAGAGACTTTTTAATGTTTCAGGCTCCAAGAACCAGTTAAGTTCTTAAATATGCACTTGATGGCAACATACATGATGTAAACTGTCCATGCACTGCTACATGTTTGAGGCGTGAACTACATGTGCCAGGCAAACAGTCAGCATCTTCATGGTTGATGATCTATGTAGAGGACATGAAAATAAAGAAACAGCATTGTTCTTGTATTGCAGAGTGGAGCTAGTTAACTCAAAGCAGCATCCTCCAAGGCTGAAAAATAAAGCCAACACAGAAGTGCCAAGAACTGCAGTTCCTTAAATGACCACTTGAAGCTGGCTTCAGACACCAGTCAAACCCAACAGACACCAGTGTTACTGTATGTCCAACTTTACTGCAGAAATGAACATTTTACAGCCTGGTACAAAACACAGTTTTGGTCTCTATAGCTAATTTCAATATTCATGACAACTGTTGACAATGACAATGTTTAAAGCTACTCATAATTAAGAGCAGCCTGCTTCCGATGGTATCCTTGACTTCTCAGTCAAGGATACCATCGGTATCCTTGAGGCTCCTGCAGAGCGCCAGCCTCTCACCCAAATATGGTCACTTCTGGCTCAAAAACAACCAAGATGGCGACAGCTGGAATGCCGAACTGTAGGCTTCAAAATGGGAGTCCACGAACTAAGCAAATATATCCCTATCCAATCCAAGCTAGGCTGGGGTTGCTGGGGTGTAAGCTTGCCATATCCAAGTTAAGAGCAGAGTTGCTAACAATGCTAAACTCTTGAAACTGTAAGCTTGTTAATCGGGCATGCTAACAGCTACAGCTCACTTTAAAGCAGATACATTCACAGTTTATCCATTCCCTGCACTCTTGCTCTGTGTTTTTGGCTTTTTAAGGCTAAAACCCTTCAAAAATAGACTACTACTATTTCAACATGTGTAAAACTGGAAAATCTGCTGTTTCTAGTTACGTTTGCTGAGCCAAGATTGGGGCAGTATTTAGTGAAGATTTCAGCAACTGATCAACAGTATTCTTTTTAGTGTGATGAGGAAGCTTGAAGCCTCCAGTGCACGTACACAGAGAATAAACTTTTCAGAAAAGAAAATGGTGTCTAGCAGTTAAACTAAACGCTGCAGCTCAGGAGACCCATCTGTTTAACTCATGAAATTTCAGACGACACGACGGTTATCTGCCTCATCTGGTACGGTGACAAGTCTGCATAGAAATGGGAGGTTGAGCAGCTCCTGCCGTTCGCGATCCAAACCGATAGATAGATAGATAGATAGATAGATAGATAGATAGATAGATAGATAGATGGATAATGTAAAGACAGATAAAAAGAAAACTTGGCTGCTGCAGCTGGCTCTGGCAATACAGCAAACCTATTACTAATAAGTGAAAACAGGCCTGCGAATGGGTGAAGTATATCTTTAAATTCTGCCAGCAATGAGTGTGAGGAGACATAAATGCAACATGTCCATGCAGGAACATGAAACAAGAGAGGTCACAGGAGGATGTTGGAGTTCTGAATGCATGGGATTCTTCGATCTCCAGATGCATTTGAAGCAGATTATTACCTGTATTTCCTTTAATTTTTAGAAACTTTTTATATGATTTTCTGTCTATAATGTTTTTAATGGGCTTCTTTTTTGTCAAATTCAGTGTTTTCTTCTCCCTGAGACTTTGCCATATTTTTTTATCAGCTCTGTAGTTGTTTTGACTGCATACTTCTCTAATGCAGGATGAGGCTGTTTGGCAGAAGGTGAAGGCTCTCAGAGTGCAGCTTGTGATCTAAATGATCCAAACTTATAAAAAAATAACAGTTTTATTTAGTTTGCTACACAGAAATGAATGAAATGCTGAGATTAAGTTCTTCTGCATATATGAAAAAATAAATAAATAAATAAATAAATAATAAAAGCAGTCTTACACACCTTAAAATCAAGAAGTCCTCGTGACCCCCTGTGAAGCTCTGGTGACCCCTAGTGGTGCTGGAGTACATGCAGGTAACTAGTTATGAACACACACACTTGACCGATTTTGCACCTAAACTAGCTACCACATGTCGTCTTGTCACATGATCAAATAGAGACTTCTCATTGGTCACTGACATACACATTACTAGGACCCTACAATACCAGAGTAGCAACACACATTGGTCAAGCGGAAAGTTGGTCACATGCCCTCTAGTGGTGGGATAGCGCATTGCATATTCGACCAAGAACTGACGGAACTTCAGTACTGCTGCATTGCTGCTGACCAGGAATTCTTGTGCGTTTCCAAAGTCAAGCAAACCTAAAAGCATAATCTACCATAATCTACTGTAATAGGAGCATCTGTGACCCGTTTACAGGTAAAAAACAAAAAACAAAAACAGTTGTCTACCATAATGTTACTCTCTACATTTTGAAATAAACAAATTATAAGCATGACCAAGACGCCTAAAAGTAAAAAACAAGGCCGTTTTACAAGCAAGTGCGCGTTAGACATACTGTAAGTGAATGGTTGTTCTGGTCAGAAAGGTAATGTCCTCATGCCCCACCAGAGGGCGCGTGATGCTTAACCTCAGCATAAGTCAATGGAAGTGTTGTCACTCTGGTATTGTAGGATCCTACACATTACCAAACAATCATCACTGTATATATTTATGACAAATACCAAAGAAAATTACCAGGCCACTTTGAGGCCATCTCTTATTTGGAGCAAACTTATATCTCAAATACTAAAATACTGCACTCATATACACTCACTGGCCACTTTATTAGGTACACTTGTTCAACTGCTTAGTTACGCAAATAGCTAATCAGTCAATCACGTGGCAGCAACTCAATACATTTAGGCATGTGGACATGGTCAAGACAACCTGCTGAAGTTCAAACTGAGCATCAGAATGGGGAAGAAAGGTGATTTAAGTGACTTTGAACGTGACATGGTTGTTCTCTGGGTGAAAATGCCTTGTTGATGCCAGAAGTCAGAGGAGAATGGCCAGACTGGTTCAAGATGATAGAAAGGCAACAGTAACCAGTCGTTACAACCAAGATTTGCAGAAGACCATCTCTGAATGGACAACACGTGGAACCTTGAAGCAGATGGGCTACAGCAGCAGAAGACCACACCAGGTGTCACTTCTGTCAGCTAACAACAGGAAACTGAGGCTACAATTTACACAGGCTCACCAATCTTGGACAATAGAAGATTGGAAAAACGTTGCCTGGTCTGATGAGTCTGGATTTCTGCTGCGACATTCAGATGGTAGGGTCAGAATTTGGTGTAAACAACATGAAAGCAGTGATCATTCCTGCCTTGTATCAATGGTTCAGGCTGGTAGCATCAACTGAGCATCATTTAAACACCATAGTCTACCTGAGTATTGTTGCTGACCGTGTCCATCCCTTTATGACCACAGTGTACCCATCTTCTGATGGCTACTTCCAGCAGGATAACACACCATGTCACAAAGCTCAAATCATCTCAGCTGGTTTCTTGAACATGACAATGAGTTCACTGTACTCCAATGACCTCCACAGTCACCAGATCTCAATCCAATAGAGTACCTTTGTGAATCTGCAGCAACTGTGTGATGCTATCATTTCAATATGGACCAAAGTCTCTGAGGAATGTTTCAGCACCTTGTTGTATCTATGCCACCAAGAATTAAGACAGTTCTGAAGGCAAAGGAGGTCCATCCTAGCAAGGTGTACCTAATAAAGTGGCTGGTGAGTGTACAAAACTCATGCGCAAATAACATCAAGTTGATGTTCTGAATAGTCTTTGGAACCTACAGTATTTTTATCCTGTATATCTACATTGTACCATTATTTAATATGCTAAAATACTCTGTTTTCCTACTTTCCTATGAAGAACCATCATCACCCATCTTCTTCTTCCTCCCTAAAGAATCTTTGCTATGATATACTGCTGCCCTCTAGTGGTTGATCATTCTATGACACTTTGTGCCTGTTACATTTTTATAGTATCCATCTTTCAGCTAATTCATTCTATTCAATTACTCATTCTAATATCATTAAAATAGCCAACAATGTGCCATTTTCTACAATGTTTTATTTGAAAACAAGTGAGTATGTTCCAACTGTAAAAACAATGATTAACAATAAAATCCCACATCTTTCCAAAGGACTCCAAAAGTGACATTGCACCATAAACCATTTACATACTCTTAGTATGTTACACAGAATCATACAAAATGAGAAGTGCACTCAGAGAGCGCAGACCTCCACCAAGGCCAAATGCCCTATTTTGCAGTCTTTAGGAAACTGAAAAATGATTTGTGTATCTAAAATTCATATCCGATCCAAAATTTAATGGGTTCTTCTCTGGCTCATGCTACACCCTGCCACCGAGTTTAATGAGAATCAAGCCAGTAGTTGTTCCTTAATCCTGTTGACAAACACACAAACAAACTAAACTGAAAAACACAACCTCCTTGACGAAGGTAATGAGACACAAACAAACCGTCCTTGTAAAGTAAGATAAAATGTAACAAAGGATTTTTTTATGTGTTATTTTTCTACTATGTTTTTTCATATAAGTCACGTAACAAACACACCCATTTTTGAGCGTATTTCATTTCATTACCATCTACTTTACAGTAGGCAATGAAATAAATATTTTGAAGAAGGTGCAAGACCAATTTATGAATTTATGGGCAGTTATTGGCAGAGATGGAATATAATATGGAATATAATATTCATAACTAAGTTTTCACTAGTTTATAATCACCTGAAACTATGAATCGTTGTGTTCTGTTACCTTAGAATGAGCCGTTTATGTCTACATACGGAGCTGGTCTCTTTTACAGAGGTTGTGAGGTTTCACAGTAGCATGGAACGTGCAAACCAAATGCTGACTCTTGATAGCGCCAATTGCCTTTTGGGGTCAGCCACCATAGTTCTCTTACACACTTGGCACGTGGGAGAAGTTTCACTTGGTTGCAATCTGCAACCTCACCACTTGATGCCGCTGTCAGTACATTTTTGTACTTTTTAAAAAGAGAAGACATCATTTTAAAAATAATTGGTTTCATGTTTTGGATAAAATTTTAGGTGTAGGCCAACTGCTCCTTCTAGTCAACCTAGTGTCTAAATATTACAGAATAACAACCCGTACAGGCCACCACACCAAGTGCAGCTGCCCTTTAATAAAATGCATTTTAATTGTAAGACATATCAGATGCCTCAAAAATATTCTGATGCTGTTTGGTATTTGTTTCTAAGAGCTTGACAGTGTTGTTGACCTTTACAGTTTGTATATGTATTATATCCCAACACTGGGAGGCACCAGAACATAACAGCGTCCTACATGGCTGTCTGTCTAGGGTTGTCAGGGTCGAAGGTCATGATCTCCATGTGGATGAGACCTAATTGGATACAAAAAAAGGAAAGCAGCATTAAAAAGTGTTACAGTGTAGATTTATTTTAAGTGAGAAACCTCTCAGATTCAACCCTGACAGTTTCACACCAAGTATCGATCTTCACTATACTGGGTATTGTCTGCATCGTAAAACTTACTCTTCCACTCTCCAACGGCGAGCTCCAGGCTCTCGAAGGAGTCGTCATAAGGCTCAGAGTCTGGCTCGCTCTCTGGATCATGATACTCAGCCAGGAAAGGGTGCGACAGTCCCTGCTTAGCTGTCAGCCTTGTCTCTGGGTCCAGCACTAACATCCCCTCCAATAGGTCTACAGCTGGAAGCATCATCATAGAAAACAGATTTTTATTTTTCACCGTTACTTGGCCATGAAAGTCATGTTTCCTGCTTTTTGACTCAAAGCTCATTTTCCAGTTAAATCTCCTGATTGACTCAAGTGACGAGGAATAACGAGGTGGGTAAACCTTTCGTATACAAGACTTTTCGGGGCACAGAGGTAGAGAAAATGTTCCAAGGACATGCAAAGAGGTAAATTCAAAAGAAACTGTGATATATTTCAATGAAAAGAAACGCAATGAATTTGAGTTTCAAGTCAACAAGGAAAGACGGTTCAGCTCACCATTTTTATCCATGGACAGAAACACCTCCCTGAAGTTTTTCTTCTTTTGGGGAGGAAGACCCTGCACATAAGACTGTGCCTGGAAAACAGTTATGGGTGGCCACAGTCCAAAGCATGAGCTTACAATACAGACAAACACATGACAAAAATAGTATGGGCAGACAAAATTCAACATCATTTTCCGCTTATATTTGGAAATAAACTCTGTCTTTATACTGTAAGTTGGCTAAATACTAAATATGAAAGCTACAAAGTGCTGATGTTAGGGAGCAACACAAGGCATGTAGACAAAACTTACATCTTTACTTTGCATCTTCTGGACCAGCGAGGAGTCTGGTGTTCCTGTCAGACGGAGGATCTCCTTCAGCTGATCAATACCTGAACAGTCGGGTTCAGGAAGCCTCCACAAGCATTGACGGTGCAGGTTGCCATTCATTTTGCATACATGACATAGCTTTACTACAAAATATAGCAGCTGCTTTTTCTCCTTTCATTTTTGTAATTGGGTTTTTTGAGTCATTTTTGTAACACTGGATGAAAGAAAAATCTAACTTTAGGGGGACATGAAGGATCAATAGGCTCATTTCAATGGCATTTCTAATTAAAGGGACACCCCAGTGATGCAGGAATGCACTTCAACAAAGATGGCCGAGATATCCTGATTTTTTGCTCCCTGGTATGGACCAAGCTCCAAAAACATTAAATTCTACATTTCACGTAAATCAACCAATAGCATTCTTTAATTTCACCCTCCTTTTTTGGTTAATCTAAAATCATTTTTAAGCCACACCTTCAATTTATAATGAAGGCACGTTACAAAGCCCGAGCCAGAAAACTCAGATGAAACAATTTTTGAGATTTTTCAAAATTCTCCTCATAGTACCCAGTTATTTAATAATTTCCCACAACTTAAATAATGACTGAAAATGTTACAAAATTTGTAAACCTGATCAAAAAATGTAATAAAACCGGCTAATGTAATGACAATAATATGTCCTGGTATTGTGATACCTATTTTTTAATTCATAATGACAATAAATTGGTAAATTTTTCATTTGTACTTCAAGTTTAAATAAGGGGCCAGAGAGCAAAACAAAGCATCAAAATAGACCTTGTGTATCAAAAGAAAAAATACCGGGGAGGATCCTCCAGACCCCCGACAGAGGGCCATGCTAATCATTTATATATTAAATATTAATGTTTCTTTATTAAGTGTCCCCTGGACTCCTGTTATATTGTAAAACTGGCCCTCGGGCAAAGCAAGCTGACAATCCCTGCTCTAGGCTTTACGCAAAATTTTAAATTTACAACAAATGGCAAGCAGTACATTATCATCAGGCAAAGATGCATTAAACTAAAATCCCTATCAATGGGAAATGAACCCGCTCATACCCTTGCTGACTGGTCGTTGTGCAAGGAGTGGATCTTTCATCAGGCACCATTAGAAGATGACAAAAGCTACAGAACACAGCTAACTTGACAATGAGTGTCCCCTTTGCCTCGCTTATGACATTTCTGTGTGGGTTAAGGGGAGTTTATGAACTGAAATATTGACCCATAAATACCAATAAATATCTTACATAAACAGATACATACAAACAGTACAACCAAACTGCCTTAAAAGTCCTGGGAGGGTAACAACAATAGGAAGTGGGTAGAGGGGAGTTTGGTGGTACTGTTCAAATATATTTATTGACTATTATTATTAACAAGAGATCTAGTAACGGAGACAGCAATTTAGCTTTAATATGTGTCTTTGGTTGAGGTTAGATATGTGATTTTACCTACAGCTCTTTTGTAATATTATTACAATATCAGTCAGGACATTTTATTACATTATTACTCAAGTAATTACATTACTGGGTTTTATTGCATTTTCGATCAAGTTGATTGCAAACTTTCTTATATTCTGAGGAAATTATTACATTTTTGGGTGCTGCACTCCCTCAAGAGCCAAAGAGTAAACTCACCTTTGTGTTTAAAATGTGATTGAGTGTTCCTAAATCCTGTAATGCTATACCTGATTTCAGCATGTTCTGTATTTTAACAGCAGGGTCTCATAGAAATATGTGAAATGGACGCAGAGTCTTAACAATACTTTACGTAGTGGTGGTTACGTAGTGATGGGTATGAAACGTGTTAAAATTACATGCTGGCGACATGAATGCAAAGTCAATGAGGAGCTTGTGGTCGACATGCAAATTTTTAATAGTAGCATTAAGAGCGAAAAAGTCCTCACAGGGCAGCAGGAGGGGTGGTGGTGGAGGCGTCAACAAACATGGACTTTCAACCAGGAGACTGTGGTTTGTGTCCTGTGTGAAACCTTAAGTCTATGTAGTTACACTACTTTACAGTAGGGGTGGGCGATATGGCCCTAAAGTAATATTACGATATTTCAGGGTATTTTGCGATTTTCTTGACGATATGACAAATTAGTAAGAAATATTTTCTTATTAATTTAAAAACGTAGAATTGCAACAAAATAAGTGATATAGTTTCACATGTCAACCTAACAGTTTGCCTTCAAATATTCAGTAAAAACTAAAATAATCTCTCATGTCTTTAGCTTGTAAACAACAACATCAACTCAGAGTGAGTTCAGATTCTGTATACAATATTAATAGTACAACAACATAAAGTCTACCACAAATTACACATTTAAATAGCTCCCAAACACAAACAAATGTACCCCGGGATCTTTATAGATAAATCAACAGGCAATTTCCTTCTTGTTTAGCAAATCCTAAATTATTGACTTTTTTTTATTTTCACCTGTATTACGAAGCCAGTTCAACTTACCCAAGATATCTTTTCATTATCTGGTTTGACTAAATGATCTTTCCGTTTGTTAGAAGCTCTGTTTCAAAACCAGTGGAAATAGAGCTTTGAAACAATGAAGTGATCCCGGTAAAAAGAGAACCAGCTTCGTAGTACTGAAAACCCAGAGTTAACCCATAAGTTATCTCGCTAACTTCAAACCCTGCTTTGTAGTAAAGGCCTCTGGACCTTTATGCTCTGCCATTTCTCCTCTAATCATCACACTATAACCTGTGAGAGGCTGTTATGCTACCATAATTATTGCACATATATGTAGTTTTTTGTCGAACAGCGAGTGTTATGTAGGTTTATATGTCCGAAGTTTTATGACAAAATCAATTGACGACACCAACTCCTGTGTACGCACAGTGAGAGAGGAGAGGGAGAGACACTGCTGCTGCCAGGGGAGCCGCTGAATTAGTTCCCTCTGAGCAGTAAGTCGCTGGAGTCTGACGTACATATAGGTACTTTATTTAACAACGCAAAGTACAAACGTTTACACCCCATCTGATTTAATTTAACTGAAAACATAATCTTTTCCTAAACTTAACCAAGTATTTTTTTGTTCTCTAAACCTAACCAAACTGTGACCGTTTCACAAAGAAACTGACCATTCATAGCAGACATTGCATTGGTCTTGTTTGTGTGTTGCCAGCGTGTACTTTTAACACTTTTCATGCCCTCCACCATTAAATGTGTTGTTCAGAGGTCTTGTCTATTTCACATATTTATGTGAGACTGTGTTGATTTTAAACCCTAAACATGCCAGAGGCAGTATGAATTTCTGGCTCCTACAACTGAGCATACACAGTTTTATTATAACACCGTGAGCTGAACGTGTGAGGATACTGTCATGTCCTGGGAAAAGCACTTGGCCAGTAATCATCTCAGCCAGGATACAGGCAGCTGACCACACATCCACTGCGAGGGAGATAATTTTAATAATAAAAATGTCATACTTTGTCGTAGCATACTTCAATATTCTGTCATGTTTTAAACAAACTGAAATGACTCTTTGTATTAAAGGAAGGTAATATTATTACCTGTTTGACTGTAGTGCATCCAGTTGAATATGACCTCTGGTGCTCTGTACCAGCGCGTCACAACATAACCAGTCATTTCACTCTCTGTCTGTCTTGCCAGGCCAAAATCCAGGATCTGAAAAGAGTTACCGTTAGGTTCACTATTAGGAAGCTGACGTGATGTCCATTTTAGCCTTAAGTGATTTTTCATTTTTCTGTTGCCTTTGCTGTTGCCTATTTCAATTCACTTTTGTTGACTCCTTCATGAATAAAAAAGTTAAACGTATAATATTTTCATTCATAAAACCAAAACCAATCATCATCTTGACCTGAACAATTTAATATACATCTACGCTATATTTTTTACACTTACCTTTAATTCACAGTTTTCATTTACAGCAAGGTTACCAGGCTTCAGATCCTAAAATCCAACCACAACAGCTTATTCAGTAATACAAAGCTTATTATGGCTTGAAGTTAATATACTCTGAAATGGGTAAAGCAATGGTTAATTTTAGAAAACACACTTAACCGCTTTCTTGCTGAGAGTTAGATGAAAAGACTGATACCGCTTTTTTGTATGGTACATATGAGGCCACAGTCAGCAGCCGGTTAGCTTAGCTTAGCATACAGAGTGGAAACAAGGGGAACCAGCTAGACAAGCTCTGTCAAAAGGCCACAAAATCATCATTGCAGCACCACTAACACTCACTAATTAAAGCTCCAGGAGTTGTGTCCTCACAGGTTAGTCACAGGGTTCACACACCCTCCACCTCTGAACAAAACACAGGTGATTCCTGAATGCATAGGCTACATTTATCAGCCAGCTAGGAACACATCATGTAGTTATGTATGACGCTTGGAGTTACAGGCAGACACGTTTCTCCTCTTTTGACACAGGCTTGCCACCTCCCACCAACTCCAACACGTTCCAGACCGGTTTGTAAACTGAACGCACAGAGACTGTTAATTCATATTAAACCTCCATCAAACTCCCTGAAAGATAGCAAACAGGACGAACCCCAAAATGTTCCTGATAAGTAACAAAGCATTGCTGGGACTAGTACCTGTAAAGTAATAACATTGTTTCAAAATGTAATCCCTTGCAACTCTTATTATTGAAAAGCAGAGGTGTGGACACAAATCTGATGACTATAGACTAGACTTGACAAAGTCAAAAAAGAGACTTGCATCTCAACTTGGACTTTAACACCGGTGACTCCACTTAGACTTGAAAGAAAAAAAGATTAAAAAGTATGTTATTTCAAAGGTGTACCACAAATCAATTAATTTCCCTTAATTTGCAGATGATCAGCTTTGTGTGAACCAATCTGACAGCATCCACTCAGTTTCAGGAGAGAACCATGAAGAACTAACATTAAAGTAAGAATTAGCATTACAAACCAAGTCTATATTATATCTAAGTCCAAGTGATTCCAATGGTTCCTGCCACTTCTGCAGGAAAAGATCAATACAATGTCCTTTGTTTCTTCCAAAGTCACAACCTCAGAGACCAAAGATTGCCACATAGAAACAGAAGGAGGGTTGTCCCTGACCTATTTCACCATGATGGCTGTCCTCACTAGCATTAAAAGCGATTAAACCACTTCCTAATGTTGTTAAAGAGAGTCAGGGATATGTCCAAGCAGACATGAAAGTGGATTTGCTGACTCCTGTTGACCTGTTGCTGTGCTAATGTTTGTGCATACCACCCTCTAGAATAACTGAATTTTGTTGCGTTCCCACAGGCAATGTAACCCAGTGCCTACATGAGTTTTACATTTGGGACAATTTGGTGAACTTCCAGCTTTATACTTACTATAAATATGGCTTGATATATAAATGTTATGTAGGATATTGTATTGTAACACTTTCTATTGCAGATTGAGATTCTGGAAGGCAACCCCAGGATCTCATGACACATCATGATCTATAACACATTTGAGCAAGGTGCACCAAGATGTCTTTAACAATTCCCTCAAGTGTACAGTTCAAGTAAACACACAGCGATTATTGGTGAGACAAAGGCTACAGTAAGTGGTGTATTAAAAAAACAAAATCAAACACCAACCCGATGAATGATCCCCGCAGAGTGAATATACTGTAAAGAAGAAAACAGATGTAAGAGCACAGTATAAAACAGCACAAATGGACAAACTGCACATACACAAAGTGTAGGAGCATACAGACTTGTATGCTTCTGGCTTTCTAAATGGCATGGTGTTGACCTGTGGATTTTAAAAATACACATTGCACATCACAAAGTCTCTACCCGCAGCCGGCTGTGAGGGCTATGTTTTGTGTATTTTCCAGCCACACAGATAAGAAGGGGAAAACATCTCGGGATCAAAGGAGCTTGAGGCCTAATTCAAAGACAAAGGGGAATTTCCAAGAAGTTAGTCTTGTTTTCCGGTTTTAAACGTGCTTTTCTTTCGTTTCCATTGAGCAATCTTGGTTACACATTGTCTAGCAATAAGTGGAGACGCATAAATAAGTGTGAAGCAGTCTGTAAACTGAATATATTATACTTGATATGCCGTTAAGACATCTGACCTTGTGTAAAGGGAGAGCAGGGTAGGATGAAAGATGAGAGGTCACCATATTGCTCTGCCAAGCTGCCTCCTTGTACTTCCTTTGATTATAAATTAATATAATGTAAAATTATGCATCCTGCACTTAATAAATACATACCTTCGTCTGTGCTCAGAATAAATCTGTTGTTGTTGATCAAGCCTCATACATGCCCCAAAGCCAAGAGAGATTCCAAAACAGCTTAATAAATAAGTTCTGATGTGATTTATTAAAACATACTTTAAGCCCTTATTGAAACAATGCAACAAGCTGTAAATATGACATAAGTATATTATCCTCTCGTTAGCAAAAATTTGGCAAACAATTAATATTACACATCAAGCAGATTAATTTGGAGTCGTGTTTGAAGTCCAATATTCATTCTCTTTAAGCTTTGTTTTGGTCTCCACCAACTCCTGAGGGAAATATCTGACTCTTTAGCTGCTACAAGCTCCACTGTTTTCACCCAGCTCGTCTCATTCCCAAGTCGTCAAATACTGCCGCTTCATCAGTGATTTCCACCTTTCGCGGCGGTATGATATATGGCCGGACAGCGTCAGTATGTAACAAGTAATCATGTGATTTAAAGAGCTGGAAAATCCCTATATGTTGGGTAGAAGTGGTGATGGATGGGTCCAACAAACCCTGGACTTCTCCCTGGAGCCTGGTGTTTGCTTCCCGAATGCCAAACTAAGATGTTGTTTTCTAAACCTCACCACGTGCTTTTGTTGCCTAAACCAAACCATATGCTTCTGTTAATGTCCTGCCATTGGTAGCGCATCCTGGATTGTCAACAGCAGACGGAGGAGGATACCTGGCACGTAATATGTAGACATTAAAGGCCACTGATAAAGCGGCAAGATCAGACAGCTTGGGATGAGAACGTACTGCTTCACCAGCTACTTTCTAACTGTGTTTGTCTGTTGTCTGGCGCTGGGCAGGTGGTATACAGAGGGTTCTTAGAGCTTTTTTCAGAAAACAGCTGCCTGCAGAGAGCATCATGCACAGGCAGTCAGTCTTTTGGTCTAAGGTGTGAGGTATTAGCAAAACAGAGTACCATTGGAAAGCCAAATAGTCACTGATTTGCAAATCACTTTTGAACCTCCCACCTCCTTGCCGTGACCGGCAACTACAAAGCATTACTACGGATCTCCCATCACATATCGGCAACTGATCAATCTGGGTATCCCTACTCTTGAAACTTTAACTATTTACAGTTGACACACTTCAACTGTCCCTTGTTCTTTGTCTTTGAATGACAACTCAGCCACCCTCAACTCTTACTCTGAAGCTGGCATTTCATATCTGTGTGTAACAATCATGCAAACAAATTATACAATTACCTTGAGTCCTCTTAGAAGCTGGTAGAACAGGTATATGGTGATGCGATCACTTAATCGCCGCTTCTTCATGATGTGGCCCAGATCCTGGGCTACTAATGGCATTACCATATAACTAGAGAGAGATGAACAGCAGAACAGAGAAGAAAAGCACAGAAAGACAAAATCAACCGTTACGTAAGGGACATCAAGTGGTAAAATTACTGTAAATGACAAGATCTCATTGCTCTGGTGAGGACACACAACAGCACAAACCAACCAAAACAAACATGAATCAGCTCGCTCTCACACATCCTCACTTGAACTTTCCATACATGCACACACATGCACGTAAAGTCTCAACAAGTTGCGACAACAAGCAGAAGAATGTGGATCCTGAATCCTAACTCACAAGGTTTGGAATTTTTCCAGTGTGGAGTCTGGGGTGAAGACGTCAAGGAGGCAGATCACCTTCAAGGAAAAACATGGTGAAGACATTGACATGTCTGTGAAGACACATGTCTATGAAACGCTTGCACACATTTGACAAAAGGTCACATGCAGTGCAGTTAGTTTACTGAAATTTCTTAAGTATCATTAAGTATCATCACTGCTGTCATGTTTCTGTACTGCCTTTCTCGGAGATCGCTTCTAAAAAATTCGTACATCCAGTGCTGATATTATCGTCCTTAGATTTTCTGTTTAAACAGTTTAGGCTTATGCTACAACATATTGAATTGGGTGCCCTCCAAAGATTAGTTTTGGTTTAGTTTAGTCAGAGACCTCTGAGAAACCGAGATAGACTGCTTCAGATTTATTTCCTGTATCTGGTTTCACCACTGCCCCTTTAGGAGACAAGTAGCGGCCGTGAGTCCATTCATAATAATGGGAGAAGTGAACGTGAGTACAGATTGTGTACCGTTCCCTTCGCCCCATTGTCACTTAAGTAAATACTGGACCCATTTTTCACAAGCCCCACCCCTTCTAGACATCCTGACACTGAAATGGCATTTTTTTCCAGACGGACAAATGAGGTGAAAATTAACTTTGTTTGAGACATGTCTCTGTTGCAGCAACATACACACGTGAGATTTGGCAACGACTGACATGATGTTACACTCAACTGATAACAGACATTAAGCTAGCAGATACAACGAGCAGCAAAGTATGGAACAAAGATTAAATTTGTACTGTACACAGTGTTGTATTGGTTTGAATCTGATTTCATCCATCTACCCAACATTTACTACACTTCCAAAGGAGGTGGGGGTATGCAGGAGAGGGAGAGATGAACACGCCCACTTAGGAAACTGCAAGTGATAGGCCTACCATGTTGTACTATTGGCGAAACTTGTCATGTGTTATCTTTTGTCATATAATATCTTTAGTTTAGTTTAGTTCAGCTTAGCTTAGCTTAGTTTAGTTTTATAGTTTGGGTTAGCTTCACTTAGTTTATCTTAGCTTATCTTGTCTTAGCTTAGCTTAGCGTAATGCAGTTTAGTTTAGTTTAGTTTGGTCATTTTCCAACCTATAAAACTCAATGCACAAAAAAGTAACAATAATAAGTCATTACTTTTGAAGTAGTGACAAACCAAAGTACATTTTGCTGCCTGAAAAGATGTAGGCTAAAGCCGAACATAGCTTAATGTAGGTACCATTTTTACAAATTGTACTGCTCTCTTTAGATTTATACAATGAAAATGAAAGAAACAAGCAAAAGAAATATATGTATAATTTATATACCCAAAGTCCCAAATAAAAAAAATCATATACACACACTAGTGTTCATAACTCAGTTTTATAGGCTGTTTGTCAAATAGATTATCAAATCCTTTGACAGTCTATTTAAAAAATGTTATTTAGTGTATTGTACATTTTCCATTCTTACTTTATATATTAATTGTGCAGTTTTAAAGTCCACCAAATCTCTACATTTGAGAGTATGTGAGTTTATAATAAAAAATTCATGGTTGGTTTCTGATACTCAGCTCTGTGTACAATTGTTACTTCTGTAGGTTATGTAAGTGTTCCAAGTCCCTCAAAGGTTTTCAGCAAAAATACTGAATCATGAGGGTTCCAACAATACACAACACTCCCAGCTTGTCAGTGAGCTCTGATGAGACTATGGGCTCTTGTTGAATGGTCAACAAAGCTTGCTTATCCTCAAAATCATCATTCTCTAGACTGAACTTCCTGGTGGAAGAAGGTCTTAATTAATACACCAAGATAACAACTCACTGTTTAACAGGCAGTCTCAACAAAAAGAGTAATTTTTGTCAGGCTGTTGCACTGAAAAGTATCATATTAATTACACTTCTCATGTTATGTGTCCACCCTCTTACTAAAAAGAAACCGCTCATTCCCAATTCAATCCATGCCCACTTTTTGTCAAGTTCCTACATTCTCATGCTGTATGTGGCGGAGCAGCCGCAGTTCCCTGTAGGCCCGTTTGGCGTGGATGAGCGACTGGAAAGGACGATACAGCTTCTTGATGGCCACCTTCTCCTTGGTCTTCTGGTCAATGGCAGAACTAAGTGGGAATAAAACACAGGGAATAGGGCATTATGACACACAGTGGGAGGATTAGTGTGCACCTGAACTAACTCAAAATCTAGGGCTTCAAGTAAAGATTATTTTCAAAGAATATCTTTTTGATTAACTGTAATGAACTGATGAACTGTTTCATCTATAAAACATTGGAAAATAGTGCAAAATGCCCATCACAAGCTCCAGTAGCCCAAGGTGATGTTTGCAGATGGCTTATTTTGTCTCATATTATAACTATTATTTTGCTTTTTTCTTGCTAAATGACAGAAATGATGAATCAATTACCAAAACGAGTGCAATCATTATTATTTGTCTGTTGGATGACTAATATTGATCCAATGGTGGCTCTTCCTGTAGGCAACATACAGTAGGTGGGAGCCATCCAGAAGAGGGACATCAACCCCCTTGCCTCAGGCAACAAAAGTGCCAGGTCCAGCACTGGATTGACCAGTTATTTCAGCTCAACTGTAATCCTGTAGAAAATAATTTCCTTTCTTGCTTCCCATCAAGACTTTCGAGAACATCAAGAATGATTTTAATTTGATTTTTGAAGTCTTTTTGAAGTTTGTAAGCTAAAAAATTCCACCTTGGAGGTGCTCTAATACGTGTAATTGTACATGATTCATAAAATGAATGTAGTCCTTATAAAGAAACCTATTCATGAGTAATATCTGGAATAAACCTTTCAATTTAGTAAACAATTCGAGGCTGATGTCCCCTCTGTTATATACTGGCCAAACATAATAGTATCAGTAATAAGATCGTGCCTGTCCTTAGCTTATCGTCAGACAGAACTGTGTGTGAGATCAGTTAGATTCTATAGGGTGGGTGTTTCTGTGTTGGTGGAGGAGATTCTTGTCCTATCGAGGACCTGCATTGACTTGCTGACTTGCCTCAGGCAGACAATAGTGCTTCTGTTAGCAGATGTCAGAGTAATCTAGGCCTCTTGAGCTGCATGCAGTAAAGTCTGGAGAAGGAATGCAGACTTAAGGATTACATAAATAGAGAAAATCGTTTGTGATGCCAAGCATTTAAATACTGATAGTGACCAACAAAGGCAAGCACCTTAAAAGAACAGTTACAAAACAGTATCAGTATCAAACAGGATGTTTACCAGTGTTACTGCTGTAAGAATCATTTAAGTATGTTGAAGGCAGCTGACTGTAATATTAAATGGCTTAATGTGCTTTAATGTGTGAAATAACAACATTTATTATTCCTATAGGAGGCAGCTGTACCCTACAATGGGATCCAATGTCTGTAAAATAAGGCTAATTAAAAAAAATGTTATGCCCAGTATTTTATAAGTACAAACCAGAACATGCAGGATTATCAGGCTATTACAGGATTACTGGACTAAACACCCAAATACTTTCCACTCTTCTGTACAAAAAACGAAGAGACTGACACAAACTCTGCAGCACTTTTCTCGCCAGTGTACCCGAAGTCGCGCGCCCTCTCCCCGGGTAAACTCACCAAACTGTCCCGTAAGCTCCAGAGCCGATGGAGCGCAGCGTCGTGTATCTCTCCGGGACGTCCCAGGTGGTTTTCTGGACCTCCAGTCTGTGAAAGCCCGCTCTGACGGGGGAATCCCTGACCGGAGACTCCATGATGCTGTTTCCTCTAAATTTTCAGTTGGGATTTAAGTCATAAAAAGCCTGTGCAGCTTTGGAGTTTGAACCTGACAGGTGAGACCTTGCAGGAGAGGTAAGAGCAGCGCACGGAAACGCCCCCGTTCCTCCACAGCCTGCCCACACGCCACATGGGGGAGCTGTCAGTCCTACCACCGAACAAGCTGCTGTCAAAACATGTTGGCACATATCTGCCCTGAGCTGTGATAAATAAGCTCCTACACCCTTCACAAAAACTATAAATGACAAGAATATACAGCCCACTCTGTGACACAAACTGTATGTGGGAATTCAGAAAGGTCATCCTGTGTTTTGGCTTTCATTGCCTACTGGGCTGGATCATGTGTGGACAGCATGGTTTGCATTTGAGAGTAGACTACATGTTACATATATCTCACATATGACTGCAAAATCAATCAATATTTAAATTATTGTCTTCTTTTCTTCTGACCTTATCAAAACCCAATATGTGGAAAGGTATTGAAGTGGTGGTAACATTTCCTTTTGCCACAAACTGGGAAGACCATACAAGAAAATGGCCGTACAGATTGTTTTTACACCAAATATATATTTTCCTTTTTTGCAAAAGAGTCATCCACAGGCAGAGAGGTGTGTATCATGTTATCCTACTTGGTGGTAGTACTTATATAGGGTCAATTTACTCTCCTTTCCCTATCTTATAAACAATACCTTTGAGATCCAGATAGACTTAGGGGAGACCAGGTATGATTGTAACACTTCTTGTCTCAGCTCCTGTAACTTGCTGAATATTTGTGTTAGAGCTCTCAAATTTTTTGACACACCCTTATTTGTCTCTAACGTCTCCAACAGAATTCGTTAATGGATGTCAAATACAAGCAGTTCTACTGTTACAACCTGCCTCGCTACCGAGTTGAGTAGTAACAAAAAAAAAATCCTCACACACACAAAAAACTAATAACCTACACAAGTAATGTCACACTGGACTAGTATTACACTTAAAATCTGGATCAAAATAAAGTCCACTTTTGGACTACTGAAGCTAATCTCTTCATTGACAAGCACTGGATCTATAAAGACCTTTACACCTAACAGCACACCCCTATAGGTTTATCTCGCCCACCCTCCTGGCATGCTGTTTTTTAGTTGTCATTAGGGTTAGTTCTAACAATTTTTAAAAAGGTGTAACAACTGTCCCCGCCCGTCATCCATTGTTCAGCTAGCTGTAACAGCTTGCTGCTTTGAAATAAGCAAAGGTAAAATGCGTCACGTTTTACCCAGAGAGTCGTACATAATTCTAACTTCAACAAAAAAAAAAAAAGATACTTTCACACCTGACATCAGTGTTTGGGCAATAAAACCTGCATACCTCTTCACACATTATGAAATTTCATATGCAAGGCCAGGAAGGAAGGGGTTATATATTGAATTGATCTCATGTCTCTCAAGTCATCTCTACTTGGTGAAAGTGGTGCTGTTACAACTATTGGTAACACTTTACTTGAAGGTATCTGCATAAGAGTGACATGACACTGCCATAACTATGACATGACAGGGTCATGAACCTGTCATAAACATTATGTACATGTCATAAACATTTATGACTGCTGTCATTAAGTGTCATTCGGTTTTTGTAATGAGTTTACATTACTTGGGTTGTCTTGATTATGACAACTTGACATTAATTAAAGTGACATTACCAGAAGTTGTCTTTGTCATGACAAGTTGACATTAAATTTGTTTGGGTTGTCCTTATTATGACAACTTGACATTAACCAGGATGACAATACCAGAAGATGTCTTTGTATCAATCATTATGTCAACTTGTCATAAACACAAAAGAGGTGCATTTCTTGTTAATGTCAAGTTGTCATGACAAAGACATCTTCTGGTAATGTCATCCTGGTTAATGTCAAGTTGTCATAATCAGGACAACCCAAACAAATTTAATGTCAACTTGTCATTACAAAAACCGAATGACACTTATTGACAGCAGTCATAAACATTTATGACATGTACATAAGGTTCATGACAGGTTCATGACCATGTCATGTCATAGTTATGGCATTGTCATGCCACTCTTATGTAGATACCTTCAAGTAAAGTGTTACCCAACTATCTCATTGTTACAACTGCACCCGGTCTCCCCTGTTCAGGTTTTGAGAAGAGTAATGCTGCATAAGAAATACTTTCAACAACAATAACCATTAAATATCATACAGAAATTTTATTTAACTACATTTTACAGCTAAGGTCTCTGAGACTGCAAACAGAAGTAATGCATTGTTTTCTGCAGAGGACTTCAGAAATGTGTCTTCATTTCAAAATTATGTTCATAAGAAATTCTCAGGAAATTGGGTGATATAACAAAGTTATGTGTTTTTTAATCTGAGGACCCAAAGAGAAGATCAAGGTTAGTGCGAAAAGTAAGAGAAGGCAAGTAGATGAAGGAGTATATTGCAGCTATATTTACCTAAAAGAAACTCTTAGAACTGAAAGTTTGACTTTGACGAAACTGAGTATTTCAGTGTTTTCTAAATGTCTAACAATATTATAAGCCAGACTTTAATATTTAAACACAGTCATACTGTGTTATCAGTGGGTCAACATTTTTCATTTACTTTGTCTACTTTACTTGTCTACAGACAAACAAAGGGAGGTGATCTAAGATAGATAGATAGATAGATAGATAGATAGATAGATAGAAGGACAGACAGGTAGATAGATAGATAGATAGATAGATAGAAGGACAGACAGGTAGATAGATAGATAGATAGATAGATAGATAGATAGATAGATAGATAGATAGTACACTTTCATACACAACTTTTGGGTGACAAGCTCCACCATAAACCAACAGAGGGCAGTCACGCCTCATTCTGGTGGGCTGGACAAGGAGGAGAGTCCCGGCTCTTAAGTCATTGTTCATTTTCATCTCGAGGGATTTCAAAGCTGGAGTTAGTGATTCAAATTAAAAATATATATTTTTAGCTGTTTGCCACAGCAGTAGCAGATGACCATTAATGTCCACAGATCGTTATCAGAGCACACAGTTGTGCTGTATGACATTAAATTAATACAATCTTTAGTTTGGCTATAAAAATCAAAATATCTGAATTGACTTGCATGGTCAAACACACACTACCATCCATAGGCCTACTGGGTGGGAAAGCAGAAATAGTGTAAACCTGCCCAGACACCTATGTGGTGTCTGTGCTGTAAAGCACTTTGGGCTACACTGTGGACAGGATCACAGATCCGTGTCTATATTTCAATGAGTTTTAATTACATCCATGTTTCCACATTGAATCCAGAGTGCCAAGAGCAAACTGAAGCTTTTTACTGTCACAAGTGGCCACACTGCAAAGCTGCAGCCCAGAGTCAAGCCAACAGAGCCGGAGCAGCATGTCTGAGGAGCATTTTTCAAAATAACAGTCGTAGTATGCCAAAGCTCAAACTTACCTAACACTTCCCTTTATTGTGTCAGTGTTGGGGAAAACCTTTTTATTTTGATTCTCAATGAAATGTAATTTAGATTAAATAAATAAATTAATAAATGAAGAAAGCCTTTATTTGAAAGATCTTTATTTATGGTACTTTACATGTGGATGCATAGTGACAGTTTTTGTTGTTGTCAGGGTACTGTATGACAGCTACTGTCAGTGAGCAGAAGATCTTGAAGAAGTACCCAGATCTATAACTTTAGTAAAAATGGCAGTGCCACAGTGTAGAACTTTTCAGGGGGAAAGTTAATTACATTATTAGATTACCTTCATTGCTGTGTAAACATCGCTCAACTTTGCATTAATGTTATCAATATGGATCCATAAATTAAAGGGGACCTATGCCCATCTACAAAATTCATAAATGTTATTCCTATTATCCAAAAATATCAGTAAATATGAACAACTCTCTCACAAATCCCAGATCTACAGTTCTGAAACTCAAATTTTTGATGTCATGGGGTATAAAGTGTGGAACAACCCTGTAGACAATGAATTGGGAAAGACGTTGTAGAAGAGACTGAGAGCACCCAGGGGAATGTTCTGAGTCTATGGGTACATTTTCTGTGCCAGAACTGAGAACACTACAATACAATAAAGCACATTTGGGTACAAAACAGAAAGTAAACATTCTGTTGGTCCACAAAATCAGACACCCATTTATTGTCTATATCAGGGTTAGGCAACCTTTACTATTAAAAGAGCCATTTTTGTCTAAAAATGGAAAACAAATCAGTATGGAGCTGCAAGGCATATTTAAGCCTTATCTAAAGGTATCTAAATTAGCCTAGCCTATCAACATTACTAATGGCTCCAATAAGCATTCATCTTTTACCACAAGGTGGCTCCTCTCCAGTGGGCTATTCACGATTATTTGCTACTTGAACTTTGCACCATCGGCAATGAAAGCAAACAAATATGTCTGCACACTATCAAATTCTCTGTTTCCCTATTTCTGAATTTCGAATCCATAATTAGCCTAGCTAGGGAGACTCAAGATGAGCCACCGCCATTGAGGTTTGGCAAAATTTAGAAGAAAAGGCGCCAGGTCGTAGATATATGATGCACATTTTAGTTGAAGAAATGTTGTAAAATAACAGTTATTTATTCCCTTTTTTGACAAACTCATTGGGAGCCACTGCAGAGAGGATAAAGAGCCACATGAGACTCTGGAGCCCCAGGTTGCCTACCCCTGGGTTGCAGAGTTGAGTTGAGTTGCTCCTAGAGTCAAAATTTTCAGAAATTTCTTAGAATTTCCCCTTAAAATTAAGACTAGGTCCTTGAAAAGATAAAAGTTATTCACAGAGTATGTTAGCCCTTAAAAGAGCTCCTACGATGAAAAACTGTTAAGAGGTTTTAGAGTTTCTTAAGCAGAGGAGAAAATGGCAAAAACACAAAGAGGTCAGAGAAATATTCTCCCAATGCTGGATGACAGTGAGTAAATGAAATGCCACAGATTAGACAGTGCAGAGATAATATTTGTGGTTGACCTCATTAGGGATATGCACACATTTTTCCACCCACACAATAAAATGATCACAATACTAGGATAGAAAACTGGAAAAAGGCAACAGTGCAGCAGTGATGACTCGTGT